CAAATTCAGCCAGGGTAATGCTAGTTGGGGTCACCTACTGGATGAGGGGCGACGATACTGTGGTTGGGGTCAGGGTAGCGTGGGTGGGGTCATGGTGACTCTAGTCACACTAGAGGAGGATATATGACTGGGAAGAGGCAGGGGAAGGCGTGGAGGAGAATATAATTGAGAAGTAAAGGGGAGAAAGATAGAGGTGATGGAAAGAAAGATAGACGTGAGGGAAAGAAAGGCAGAGGTGAGGGAAACAAAGACAGAGGTGAAAGAAAAAGACAAAAGACGTAAGGGAGAGAAAGATACAGATGATTGAAAGACAAAGAAGGGGAGGTAGTTTCAGGGAGAGAGAGAGAGAGAGAGAGAGAGAGAGGGGAGAGAGAAAAGAGAGGAGAGGAGGAGAGGGGAGAGAGAGAGAGAGAGAGAGAGAGAGAGGAGAGAGAGAGAGGGGAGAGTGAGAGAGGAGAGGAGAGAGAGAGAGGAGAGAGAGAGAGGAGAAGAGAGGAAGAGGAAAAGAGAGAGGGGGAGAGAGAGAGAGGGAAAAGAGGAGAGAGAGGAGAGGGAAAAGGGGAGGGGAGAGGAGAGAGAAGGGGGAGAGAGGAAGGAGAGGAGAGGAGGAGAGAGAGAGGAGAGGAGAGAGTGAGAGAGTGAGAGAGTGGAGAGGGAGAGAGAGAGAGAGAGAGAGAGGGGAGAGAGGAGAGAGGAGAAGGAGAGAGAGAGAGAGAAAAGAGAGGAGAGAGAGAGAGATGAAGAGAGGAGGGAGAGAGAGAGAGGGAGAGAGAGAGGGAGAGAGAGAGCCAGGAACAGTAACAATCCGAACGTTCGTCTAAGAAACATACATCAGCATTGAAGGTTTGACAACAATCAGTAAAGACATTCTCCATCTATCAGTTCTTAATATAAATAATTTAACAAAATTAGGATCCTAAAATTGAAAATTGATGGCGAAAGTTATCTTTGATTTTCTGCCACCATTGATCAGGGTGACGTTCATTTGATAGTTGACTGTGGCTTGTATGAACGTCCAGTTGGTAGTTGACTGTGGCTTGTATGAACGTCCAGTTGGTAGTTGACTGTGGCTTGTACAATGTCCAGTTGATAGTTGACTGTGGCTTGTATGAATGTCCAGTTGATAGCTGACTGTGGCTTGTATGAACGTCCAGTTGGTAGTTGACTGTGGCTTGTACAATGTCCAGTTGATAGTTGACTGTGGCTTGTATCAATGTCCAGTTCAAAGTTGACTGTGGCTTGTATGAACGTCCAGTTGATAGTTGACTGTGGCTTGTATGAACGTCCAGTTCATAGTTGACTGTGGCTTGTATGAACGTCCAGTTGGTAGTTGACTGTTGCTTGTATGAACGTCCAGTTGATAGTTGACTGTGGCTTGTATGAACGTCCAGTTGATAGTTGATTTTGGCTTATATGAACGTCCAGTTGATAGTTGACTGTGGCTTGTATCAACGTCCAGTTGATAGTTGACTGTGGCTTGTATCAATGTCCAGTTGATAGTTGACTGTGGCTTGTATCAATGTCCAGTGGATAGTTGGGCTGTTTACTTGTATGAAGTCCAGTTGATAGTTGACTGTGGCTTGCATGAACGTCCAGTTGATAGCTGACTGTGGCTTGTATCAATGTTCAGTTGATAGTTGACTGTGGCTTGTATGAACGTCCAGTTGATAGTTGACTGTGGCTTGTATCAACGTCCAGTTGATAGTTGACTGTGGCTTGTATCAATGTCAAGTGGATAGTTGACTGTGGCTTGTATGAACGTCCAGTTGATAGTTGACTGTGGCTTGTATCAACGTCCAGTTGATAGTTGACTGTGGCTTGTATCAGTGTCCAGTTGATAGTTGACTGTGGCTTGTATCAACGTCCAGTTGATAGTTGACTGTGGCTTGTATCAACGTCCAGTTGATAGTTGACTGTGGCTTGTATCAATGTCAAGTGGATAGTTGACTGTGGCTTGTATGAACGTCCAGTTGATAGTTGACTGTGGCTTGTATCAACGCCCAGTTGATAGTTGACTGTGGCTTGTATCAACGTCCAGTTGATAGTTGACTGTGGCTTTTATCAACGTCCAGTTGATAGTTGACTGTGGCTTGTATCAATGTCCAATTGATAGTTGACTGTGGCTTGTATCAATGTCAAGTGGATAGTTGACTGTGGCTTGTATGAACGTCCAGTTGATAGTTGACTGTGGCTTGTATCAATGTCCAGTTGATAGTTGACTGTGGCTTGTATCAACGTCCAGTTGATAGTTGACTGTGGCTTGTATCAACGTCCTGGAGAGCGAAACGTTGCCACAATAAATGTCACATTAGTTGCACTTGTGTCCTTTTACTTTACATATTGTCGGTAATTCTACCAACTTTATTACTATCAACGTTCAGTTGATAGTTGATTGTGGCTTGTATCAACGTCCAGTTGATAGTTAATTGTGGCTTGTATCAACGTCCAGTTGACAGTTGATTGTGGCTCGTATCAACGTCCAGTTGATAGTTGATTGTGACTTGTATCAACGTCCAGTTGATAGCTGATTGTGGCTTGTATCACCGTCGAATTGATAGTTGACTGTGGCTTGTATCAACGTCCAGTTGATAGTTGATTGTGGCTTGTATCAACGTCCAGTTGATAGTTGACTGTGGCTTGTATGAACGTCCAGTTGATAGTTGACTGTGGCTTGTATGAACGTCCAGTTGATAGTTGACTGTGGCTTATATCAATGTCAAGTGGATAGTTGACTGTGGCTTGTATGAACGTCCAGTTGATAGATGACTGTGGCTTGTATCAACGTCCAGTTGATAGTTGACTGTGGCTTGTATCAAACGTCCAGTTGATAGTTGGGCTGTGGCTTGTATCAACGTCCAGTTGATAGTTGACTGTGGCTTGTATCAATGTCCAATTGATAGTTGACTGTGGCTTGTATCAATGTCCAGTGGATAGCTGACTGCGGCTTGTATCAACGTCCAGTTGATAGTTGACTGTGGCTTGTATCAACGTCCAGTTGATAGTTGACTGTGGCTTGTATCAACGTCCAGTTGATAGTTGACTGTGGCTTGTATCAATGTCTAATTGATAGTTGACTGTGGCTTGTATCAATGTCCAGTGGATAGCTGACTGTGGCTTGTATCAACGTTCAGTTGATAGTTGATTGTGGCTTGTATCAACGTTCAGTTGATAGTTGATTGTGGCTTGTATGAACGTCCAGTTGATAGTTGATTGTGGCTTGTATCAACGTCCAGTTGACAGTTGATTGTGGCTCGTATCAACGTCCAGTTGATAGTTGATTGTGACTTGTATCAACGTCCAGTTGATAGCTGATTGTGGCTTGTATCACCGTCGAATTGATAGTTGACTGTGGCTTGTATCAACGTCCAGTTGATAGTTGATTGTGGCTTGTATCAACGTCCAGTTGATAGTTGACTGTGGCTTGTATCACAAAATAATCCCAGAGACACTTTCTGACCAATGTTAACTGAGGCAAGAGGTTCGGTATATCAAGGAAAGCGAATCCATCGTACAAGTCAGTACATCGACAATTTGTCAACGGCTTGGATTCCTTTCCAAGGCTGAAGTGTGAAACTTCAAGCCTTATCTTGGCTTTGGAATCCTTGGGACGAACATCTTAGCTAGTCTGCGATGCTCTCTTAGCGTTGTTGTTCGATTCACCAGTTGGTAGGACGTGATCATGTCGGAGGATGTCAAGTCAGGAAATGGACTTCCATGACAGATACATATACGAGAAGCCGGAAATGAAAGACCAAACAACCACATGCTATGTTGACATATGTTGCCCAACGCCTAATATAACGCCGGACACTTCGAGCCAGGCAAAAAAAAAAAAAAAAAAAAAAAAAAAAAAAAAAAAAAAAAACGAAAAATGAGTTAAGCTTACCGAAAAATAGCTCAACAATCTGGCAACATTTTGGTGTAAGATAAGATTTCGTTCGGATTTTTAACCCCGGAGGGTTAGCCACCCAGGATAACCCAAGAAAGTCAGTGCGTCATCGAGGACTGTCTAACTTATTTCCATTGGGGTCCTTAATCTTGTCCGCCAGGATGCGACCCACACCAGTCGACTAACACCCAGGTACCTATTTGCTGCTAGGTGAACAGGACAACAGGTGTAAGGAAACGTGTCGAAATGTTTCCACCCGCCGGGAATCGAACCCGGGCCCCCCGTGTGTGAAGCGGGAGCTTTAGCCACCAGGCCACCTATACGATAATTAGGTAAAAAGTTATCGTAATTATAGTAACTGGGGTAATTACGTCATTATCGTGACGCACATCATAGCTGTAGTCCGTTTATTGTCATTTTTAGCTTTTTTCCGTAATTTTTTCTTATGTTTTTGTGCCAAATGCTTCGAATTACTCATTGGTAACTCTCATGGTGGCTGTAGCAAGGAGCTTCACTCTCCACACCAACCTCAGTGCCGACCAAAGGTCAGGTAGAAGAGGATTTATGCTGCTTTGATTGACCGCGCCGCTCCCTTGGGACTCATATTTTTGCCGTCAGTTCTTTACATTTCTGCAGCACAATGCCTCGTAAGAAGACAATTCACTCACTGAACATCAGCAAAAAGTTGAGAAAGAGGATGCTGAAGTTGCTAAGGGGAAAACAAATAAAAAAAGCAGCGGCAGAGGCAGCAGCAGCAGTAGCTGACGCCACCACTACCCACAGACTCCTCAGAAGACGAAGATTTCTTGTCAGCTGGTGAATTTCTAAATATTTCTTCAGTGAAGTCTTGTGTTAAGCAAGGCAAGGGAAAAAAGAAGTGTGTGGCCAGCACGTCCAGGGTCACTCCAGATGTGGCCAGCACGTCCAGGATCACTCCAGATGTGGCCAGCACGTCCAGGGTCACTCCAGATGTGGCCAGCACGTACAGGGTCACTCCAGATGTGGCCAGCACGTCCAGAGCCACTCTAGATGTGGTCAGCACGTCCAGGGCCACTCCAGATGTGGCCAGCACGTCCAGGGCCACTCTAGATGTGGCCAGCACGTCCAGGGCCACTCTAGATGTGGCCAGCACGTCCAGAGCCACTCTAGATGTGGCCAGCACGTCCAGGGCCACTCCAGATGTGGCCAGCACGTCCAGGGCCACACCAGATGTGGCACTTCAAGTGGCAAACCTACAGCACCGAGAAAGCGGAAACGAAGTAACATATCTGTAGCCACCACCACTGTGGCCACACTAATCAAGCCTACACCTATATATACATCTGTCGTCACCACACCCACAGTTACGTATGTGAGGACCTCACCATGTACGACTATATCCCCTGTGACGACTCCAGATGTTGCCGCCCCAGATGTGGCCACTGCAGATGTGGCCACCCCACATGTAGCCACTGCAGATGTGGCCACTTCACATGTGGCCACTGCAGATGTGGCCACCCTACATGTGGCCACTGCAGATGTGGCCGCCCCAGTTGTGCCTAGCTCAGCTGTCGCCAACACGTCGACAGCCAGTGATAGTGTGTCAACAAGTGTTCGTGATGTGTCAAGTGCCGCACGACGAGTGTCGATGTACAAAAAGATAAATCCTGTTGTTGTTGACAAGAAAATGATATGTATGGAAGATAATAGATTTGCTGAAATTCTATCATATGTGCATTGTTGTCATTACTTTTGTAATAAGATCAAAGTTACACATTATAAGCATCACCTAGAAACAGTTGTTAGTATATTGAGTACCGAGTGTAAGAATACATGGTGGCTATTCGTAATTTACTCGTAAAAATGCGATGTGTAAGTTACCTCATCTAACTCGGAAAACATTCATCAGATATACGAGCATGATTACAAGGATATCCATTCAGTCGTGCAACAAAATTCTTGCTGAAACAAGGGCAATCATTTGTAAGGAACATGCCAAATATGACACTTTACCAGACGCACGTGGTGTTGTTGACATTGACGTGACGTATGACGGCACGTGGCACACTAGGGGCCATCATTCTAATTTTGGCATTGGTGTGGCAACTGATACCTTGACGAAGCTAGTAGTTGATTATCAAGTGATGCGCAAATTCTGTTTTGTGTGTGTCCGTCTCCAAGATCGTTTGAAGAAGAAAATTACTATGGATACATATGAACAGTTGAAAGAAAAACATAAGGTAAATGTAACAAAAACTTTACAGGCTCCTCAGGAAAAATGGTAGAAGCTGCACTAATCATTTGGCAGAGATCACTGATAAAGAAGTTGAGGTACAAAACCATAGTGTCTGATGGTGACAGTGCAACGTACAAAGGAATCGTTGAACTCAATGATGGTGCTGGTCCTTATGAAGGTATACAAGTTGCGAAAGAAGAGTGTATCAACCATTATGCAAAGCGGCTAAAGAATAGATTGACAAGCTTGGTCAAATTGCACTGCACAGAAAAACAACTGAGAACAGGAAAAAAGAGAAAGCAGTATCACCTGAAGAAAGGGATGCTGACAGACTTTATAATTGACAAGCTTGCACAATATTTTCAGAAAAACCTAAGGGAAAATCGTGGAACTGATGTTGTAACGATGAGGAATGGCATACTTGCAAGTTTCTTTCACTGTTTCTCCACTGACGACAACCCACAGCATCAGCTTTGTCCACCTGGTTGTGCTTCATGGTGTTTTTACCAGAAAGCGCTGGCAGACAACCTACCACCACCACCCCACACAACCCTAAAAATGAAGTTCCAGCTAGAACCTGCCTACTTCAATCAGGTGCATAAAATCTACAAGGACCTCACTAGAAATGAAATGATGGAACGATGCATACAGGGACGAACACAAAACCTGAATGAAAGCCTTCACCAACGAATATGGTCCTACTGTAACAAAGCTCTGTTTAGAAATAAGTGGCAAGTTGATTTCTCGGTCAGCCACGCCATAGCAGAGTACAATGCAGGATACGAAAGAAGTTGCTTAGATAAACAAGTTGGGTATGGCCGCTCATCACTGAACCAACATCGCCTGATGAATATGGACAGGAACATGCAGACAGTCAAAACCCGAAGATGCAAGAAGAGGAAGATGGTGGTGGACACCTCCTATGAGGCTGGACGCCATTAGATGATCCATGTCCATGCCTACTCTTCGTCAAAGGTAAATAATTCATGTGAATTTTTTGTTTATTTGTATGTGTATGTTTATAAATATTGTATAATGTATATTTATAAATATTGTATAATGTATGTTTATACATATCTTTTGTACATAACCATTGGCAATACGATGTTTAGTGTGTATTTCCTTCTTTCCAGTTTGATTTGCATGGACCGTCATGATTAGCCAATCTGCATGGGACTTCAAGATGGAGGGATCTGCATGGAACTTCAGAAATGTTATATATGCTCACTTCTACTCCTAATAAACATAAGAAGGCACAAGGAGTATTTTTACCCACCGTAAGCTAAGCCTCAATGTATTATTCCATTTTTCTGGAAAGTCCATTTTCTGCAATTTTAGGGGGACTCCTCCCTTATTATTGAACTGGTCTTTATCATTTTTACAAGATTTATTCATGGAACATTGTTCTCTAATTTATGTACCTTTTGGTAAAAATCCTTACCATTTTTTTATACCATGGGTGTAAAATGCAAAAATTGTCCTAACACATGTCAAGGCATCTTCACAATTTTTTGGATACTATAAAAGATTATATTGCATGATTGGTACCTAACAAAAGGTCTGTTTGGCATTAATTAATAATTTCATGTTACCAAAAATAACTTCGATATTGCCATATTGATGTGGTCTTCTATTAAGTGCTGCCATATACAATTTTTCACATTTTATTTTTTTATGTCGTTAATTATTGAACGATCTTGACGAAAAACAATGCACAATATATTCTGACATGCCTAGATTCTGTGGTAAAAATTTCAGTGAAATCGTACAAAGGGAAGTGAACATGAATATTTACCCTTCCCTGGCCCCTAATGTTGAATATATTTAAGAACAAAAAGGTATAATACTGTGACTGGAACAATACACAAATAACACACACATAGAGGAGCTTAGGAAGACGTTTCGGTCCGACTGGGACCATTTACAAGTCACACTAACACACGAGAGTGAGGGAGCCAGTGTATACATAGGTGAGGGGGACAGGGACGGGACAGAGGAAGAAAGAAGTGGAAGAGGTATTGCTGGTAGTGGGAGTAGGAAGTAGGGGGAGTAGTTTTAGTGGCACAAGAGACAGAAAGGGGATAAAAGGGAGGCAATAGTAGTAGTGGTGGTAGTAGTAGTAGTAGTAGTAATAGAGTGGTAATCGTAAGAGAAGTAGAAGTAGAGTAAGTCTAAGGACATGAAAAATGAGCACTGAGAGATACTGGCCCATAAGGGGTAGGACCAAAAACACAGGGGATAAAATAACTGTGTTTTTGGTCCTACGCCTTGTAGGTCATTAGCTCTCTAGCAGTGCTCAATTGTCTTGTCCTTAGATTTACTCCACTTCTACTACTACGACTGCCACTAATACCATTGTCTCCATTCCCCTTTCTGTCTCTTGTGCCAATGAAACTACTCTCCCCTACTTTCTACTACCACTACTACTTCTACTCCTACTCCCACTACCAACCACCGACATTGCCTCTACCACTACTTTTCCACTTCTTTCTTCCTCTCTTTGTCCCATCCTGGGCTCGCCCATCCCCCCGCGTATATATACTGGCTCCCTCACTCTCGTGTGTTAGTGTGACCTGTAAATTGTACATGTCCTATGTGCGGGTGAATGTATTTAGGATGTTGCGCGATCCGGGAAAGTTATCCCAGTATCTCAAAAACTCCAACCCCCGCTACATCAACACACAACAGAGGCAAAGAGACTAAGGAGAGAGAGAGAGAGAGAGAGAGAGGAGAGAGAGAGAGAGAGAGAGAGAGAGAGAGAGAGAGAGAGAGAGAGAGAGAGAGAGAGAGGATGGGGCTTTGCAAAAGCCTTCGACAAGTGTGACCATGGCGTAATAGCGCACAAAATGCGTGCTAAAGGAATAACGGGAAAAGCCGGTCGATGGATCTATAATTTCCTCACTAACAGAACACAGAGTAGTAGTAGTCAACAGAGTAAAGCCCGAGGCAGCTACGGTGAAAAGCTCTGTTCCACAAGGCACAGTACTCGCTCCCATCTTGTTCCTCATCCTCATATCTGACATAGACAAGGATGTCAGCCCCAGCATCGTGTCTTCCTTTGCAGATGACACCCGAATCTGCATGACAGTGTCTTCCATTGCAGACACTGCAAGGTTCCAGGCGGACATCAACCAAATCTTTCAGTGGGCTGCAGAAAACAATATGAAGTTTAACGATGAGAAATTTCAATTACTCAGATATGGCAAACACGAGGAAATTAAATCTTCATCAGAGTACAAAACAAATTCTGGCCACAAAATAGAACGAAACACCAACGTCAAAGACCTGGGAGTGATCATGTCGGAGGATCTCACCTTCAAGGACCATAACATTGTATCAATCGCATCTGCTAGAAAAATGACAGGATGGATAATGAGAACCTTCAAAACTAGGGATGCCAAGCCCATGATGACACTCTTCAAGTCACTTGTTCTATCTAGGCTGGAATATTGCTGCACACTAACAGCACCCTTCAAGGCAGGTGAAATTGCTGACCTAGAAAATGTACAGAGAACCTTCACGGCGCGCATAACGGAGATAAAACACCTCAATTACTGGGAGCGCTTGAGGTTCCTGAACCTGTATTTCCTGGAACGCAGGCGGGAGAGATACATGATTATATACACCTGGAAAATCCTAGAGGGACTAGTACCGAACTTGCACACGAAAATCACTCACTACGAAAGCAAAAGACTTGGCAGACGATGTAACATCTCCCCAATGAAAAGCAGGGGTGTCACTAGCACGTTAAGAGACCATACAATAAGTGTCAGGGGCCCGAGACTGTTCAACTGCCTCCCAGCATACATAAGGGGGATTACCAACAGACCCCTGGCAGTCTTCAAGCAGGCACTGGACAAGCACCTAAAGTCGGTTCCTGACCAGCCGGACTGTGGCTCGTACGTTGGTTTGCGTGCAGCCAACAGTAACAGCCTGGTTGATCAGGCTCTGATCCACCAGAAGGCCTGGTCACAGACCGGGCCGCGGGGGCGTTGACCCCAGGAACTCTCTCCAGGTAAACTCCAGGTAAACTCGATTGTATGTTTTAGACCTCACTCACTATGGGTTCAAACCCCACCCGTTCCGTGGTTTGTTTACAATCATGTTAGGACGATTTCGTGAGATCACATATGACTGCAATGAGACTGATAAAGCTTCAGCAAAAGCTTTATCAGAGACATGAGAGACAGGAAGTAGTAGAGCGATGCACCAGTAGTAGACGTAGTCATATGTGGGTGGGGCCCACTACTGGAGGTAGGTTTCACTCTCTTGTCTTTCTGATAGACTGAGTAAAGCATCTCGTGGGAGAAACGTCTCTTGAAAGATACGCAAATGTTGTACCACATTAGTGTGTATGATCCAAGTTTCAAGTTCTACCACACTGGTGTGTATGACCCAAGTTTTAAGTTCTACCACACTAGTGTGTATGATCCAAGTTTCAAGTTCTACCACACTGGTGTGTATGTCCCAAGTTTTAAGTTCCACCACACTGTCCAAAACTTGCTCACACACAAACAGAACAACTCCACTGCAACTTTTATGTACTTTTGTTGCGTTGACTTTAAAAATATGTGAGCACTGTTGTACCTGCAGTTACTGTAACATGCACAGTGTGAACACTGTTGTACCTGCAGTTACTGTAACATGCACAGTGTGAGCACTGTTGTACCTGCAGTTACTGTAACATGCACAGTGTGAACACTGTTGTACCTGCAGTTACTGTAACATGCACAGTGTGAACACTGTTGTACCTGCAGTTACTGTAACATACACAGTGTGAGCACTGTTGTACCTGCAGTTACTGTAACATGCACAGTGTGAATACTGTTGTACCTGCAGTTACTGTAACATACACAGTGTGAGCACTGTTGTACCTGCAGTTACTGTAACATACACAGTGTGAACAATATTGTACCTGCAGTTACTGTAACATGCACAGTGTGAGCACTGTTGTACCTGCAGTTACTGTAACATGCACAGTGTGAGCGCTGTTGTACCTGCAGTTACTGTAACATGCACAGTGTGAACACTGTTGTACCTGCAGTTACTGTAACATACACAGTGTGAGCACTGTTGTACCTGTAGTTACTGTAACATACACAGTGTGAGCACTGTTGCCCCTGCAGTTACTGTAACATACACAGTGTGAGCACTGTTGTACCTGCAGTTACTGTAACACGCACAGTGTGAGCACTGTTGTACCTGCAGTTACTGTAACATGCACAGTGTGAGCACTGTTGTACCTGCAGTTACTGTAACATGCACAGTGTGAGCACTGTTGTACCTGCAGTTACTGTAACATACACAGTGTGAGCACTGTTGTACCTGCAGTTACTGTAACATACACAGTGTGAACACTGTTGTACCTGCAGTTACTGTAACATACAGTGTGAACACCGTTGTACCTGCAGTTACTGTAACATACACAGTGTGAACACTGTTGTACCTGCAGTTTCTGTAACATACACAGTGTGAACACTGTTGTACCTGCAGTTACTGTAACATGCACAGTGTGAACACTGTTGTACCTGCAGTTACTGTAACATACAGTGTGAACACTGTTGTACCTGCAGTTACTGTAACATACACAGTGTGAACACTGTTGTACCTGCAGTTACTGTAACATACATAGTGTGAACACTGTTGTACCTGCAATTACTGTAACATGCACAGTGTGAGCACTGTTGCCCCTGCAGTTACTGTAACATACACAGTGTGAGCACTGTTGTACCTGCAGTTACTGTAACATACACAGTGTGAGCACTGTTGTAAATGCAGTTACTGTAACATACATAGTGTGAGCACTGTTGCCCCTGCAGTTACTGTAACATACACAGTGTGAGCACTGTTGTACCTGCAGTTACTGTAAGATACACAGTGTGAGCACTGTTGCCCCTGCAGTTACTGTAACAACACATGGACGTTGAACCACTGTCAAGTTGACCTGCAGTTACTGTAACATCACAGTGTGAACACTGTGTACCTGCAGTTACTGTAACATGCACAGTGTGAACACTGTTGTACCTGCAGTTACTGTAACATGCACAGTGTGAACACTGTTGTACCTGCAGTTACTGTAACATGCACAGTGTGAACACTGTTGTACCTGCAGTTACTGTAACATACACAGTGTTCACACTGTAACATGCACAGTGTGAACACTCTCGTACCTGCAGTTACTGTAACATACACAGTGTGAACACTGTTGTACCTGCAGTTACTGTAACATGCACAGTGTGAACACTGTTGTACCTGCAGTTACTGTAACATGCACAGTGTGAACACTGTTGTACCTGCAGTTACTGTAACATACACAGTGTGAACACTGTTGTACCTGCAGTTACTGTAACATGCACAGTGTGAACAGTGTTGTACCTGCAGTTACTGTAGCATACACAGTGTGAACACTGTTGTACCTGCAGTTACTGTAACATGC